CTTTTAAAATAACTAAAAAATAGTCGAACAAAATTAAAACCACACATATCACAAGTCTGAGCACTTTCAGTATACCAGTAATCTGTCTTCTTACTCATTTTAATAGTTTCACACATAAAATAAACATATTATTTATTATCCAAATTAGGACAACTTTGAAAATGAACGGGACTCTGATCACAGTCATACCAGGTCGACAGGCTTTTAAGCTGGGGCTGGCCCGGGCAGGTCAGGGTCAGTCACCCTGCCCCACCTGCTCAACGCCCAGCCTACAGGAATGGTGATCAATACTGTGCATGAGGTGTGATGGCAAAACAACTGAACAAGGCACGCACACCCCAGCATCACCGCCTCTACCTAACCACCTCTGGAAACCATGAGCTTTTCAATAGTGCAACCGCTGCTCAAATAACTTTTGGAAGTTCACCCCTGCACTTTTAGAACCATCACCACGCTTTCCTTGGGTACAAAGAGAAGGCGTTACTAGAAATTTTCTTCCATGACATATAGATTCTTATGAAGACAATTCCAAAATAATTTAAAACCATTTTGGGCCATGGAACTATTGGAATAAATGTTTACTTCACAAAATGTACACTCAAAAATAAAGCTTACTTGGGTGCACAAATTCTAATTCATTTTACATTAAAAGAGTACATATATTTATTATTTTATAGGCAGTATTTCAAAAAGCAAAAAAACCCCGCTATCCTCAGACAAATTTTAAAATAAAGGCAAAACTATCTCCTAGCTGAGTAGCAGGGACACAAATGATTATTAAAAAACACAGTTGTTTGCTGGTTAGAATATGTATTGATAAAAAATTATTTTAAAACGAAGGCAGGGGCTTCCCTGGTGGCGCAGTGGTTAAGAATCCACCTGGTAGTGCAGGGGACACGGGTTTGAGCCCTGGTCTGGGAAGAACCCACATGCCACAGAGCAACTAAGCCTGTACGCCACAACTACTGAGCCTGCGCTCTAGAGCCCGCGTGCCACAACTACTGAAGCCTGCACGTCTAGAGCCCATGCTCTGCAATAAGAGAAGACACCACAATGAGAAGCCCACGCACCACAACGAAGAGTAGCCCCCGCTCACCACAACTACAGAAAGTCTGCAAGCAGCAACAAAGACCCAGCACAGCCAAAAATAAAATAAAATAAAAAAATTAAAAAAAAAAAGGCAGAGGCAAAATCCTTTTATATGGTACTACTCTTAAAAGTTAGATCATACATGGACAACTTGTAAGGCCCCTCAAGAGCAAAAGATACATATGATTTATCTTCATAAAACTGTGACCATTTAAGGGTCTGGCCCATTTAAGACACTATATTTACTTGGGGAAGAAAAAAAAAAAAGCTATCCCTAAAAAAACAACCAAAAATGTAAAAACAATAAAATGTTGCCATGACAGGCCAGAGGTTCTTCTGTGTCATGTAACATCAATCATCAAAGCTCAAGCAGACCAGCGGCTGCCTTGTCTGTAGATTTTCAGTCCACTAAAAATTAAGGTCTGGAGTGTCTCACACAAATGAATGTTAAATAGCACCTCATTTTTTCTTTTTAGCTTCAAATACCCGATGGTCAGCAAAAAGGTAAAAAGGTATCCAAATGCTAAATGACAAAAAGTATTTTAATGAACAAATACCATTTCTGCATCATGTATATTTTCTGGTGAAGAGTATCAACAATCACTTTTTGGGGTATTTTAGAAACCATTTCTAACTTCTGTGATGCTTACTAAGTCCTAAGCAAGCAGTGCTCCCAGATTTAAGTAGATAAACTGACAAATCAAATAGTCTTAAATACTGCTGTAGTAAAACCTCTCCACAAGACAAAGATTTTGGTGAATGGGAAATATCACAGTTTTCACATAGGTAGCAAATGTTTGTTTCTTCCATGAACAGAATGATGACGAGATGAACAAAGCATTTTCTCCTACTGGCTCTCTACTTCTATACCTACAGTGAAAGAATCACAAGAACTTATGAACAGCAAAACTATTTTGCGGGGCTTCCCTGGTGGCTCAGTGGTTGAGAGTCCGCCTGCTGATGCTAGTGGACACGGGTTCGTGCCCGGGTCTGGGGGGATCCCACATGCCGCGGAGCGGCTGGGCCTGTGAGCCATGGCCGCTGAGCCTGCGCGTCCGGAGCCTGTGCTCCGCAGCGGGAGAGGCCACGACGGTGAGAGGCCCGCATACCGCGAAAAACAAAAAACAAAAAAAACTACTTTGCTAAAGTGGGAAAAGGTCAGCGACCAGTGCATTTTTGCCATATGCCTGTCCACTGACACTACTCAATGATTAGGTCAAAAAGTCATAGCAATATAAATACTGGAATACTTTATAAAAGACAGAATTCAGGAGAAAGCTCCCCTGACATAAGAAATAGAGGTTTCAGTCTTAATAAAAATTCAAAATGTTGTTAGTGCCTAGAATTTTAAGTTACTTATAAAATAGTAAGGATAGCTTAGAAAAAGACACTTCCAAGTGGACAAGTGTCTTCCTAAAACTAGGACAAGGATTAAGAATAAGCCTCAGGGGGGCCTCCCTGGTGGCGCAGTGGTTGAGAGTCCGCCTGCCGATGCAGGGGATGCGGGTTCGTGCCCCGGTCTGGGAGGATCCCACATGCCGCGTAGCGGCTGGGCCTGTGAGCCGTGGCCGCTGAGCTTGCGCGTCCGGCAACGGGAAAGGCCACGACAGTGAGAGGCCCACATATCGCAAAAAAAAAAAAAAAGAATAAGCCTCAGGGACTTCCCTGAGGAAGTCCCGCCTTCCAATGCAGGGGAAGTGGGTTCGATCCCTGGTCGGTGAACTAAGATCCCACAGGCCAAAGGACAACTAAGCCCCCTCGCCGCAACTACTGAGCACCACAACTAGAGAGAAGCCCATGCACCACAATGAAAGATCCCACATGCCACAACAAAGATCCGGTGAGCCGCAACTAAGACCAGATGCAGCCAAATAAATTAAAAAATTTTTTTAAAAAGAATAAGCCTCAAACAGACCAGTCGATCAGGAATCATTCTCATTCAGACTGTCATCAATAATTTTAAATCAAGAGAGTTGCAAGTTGGGTTTAACCAGAGCCTTGGTAAAGTGAAAGGGCCAATAAAGCCAGTATTCTGTAAGTCAAGACTTCTTGGGAGAAGTTTCAGCCAACTTACCTCACTAAGAAAAGCAGGAAAGTTAGAAATAAATTTAAGAAGATTTCAATCAAAATGTCTAAATTTTGAGAGTAATATGAACCAATCACTTAGTAAGACAGGTGCATTTGCGTTTGTATAATGTTTTTAGTGAAAGAAATAGGGAAGGAAGGAGTAGGCACCCATTCTAGAACAGTGAAGTATAACTGCAGCAAAAAACTAAAGAAAACATTCTCTAACCTGAACCCATCTTGTGAAGGAGTTCCTTTACAAAAAGTTTAAAAGTACTGAAGGTTTTGCTTAGTAATTTAAAAACTGTACTTATTAAAGACCCTGCCACTACAGCATACAATTAAAAAACTGGTAATTCCACTCCTCTAAATGGATTTCAAACTACAGCCCAAACCAAAAGAAAAGCTACCACAGTGGTTAAGAGTGTGGCTGCCTGTCTCTGTCACTACTAATGGGTGAATCTGGGCTGGCACTGAACTTACCTAAGCCTCCGTTTTCTCATCTTAATCCATGAAAGTGCTGGCCCAGCATTTGGCACAGACAGAGGACACGTGCTGGGTGAGCAGAAGCTGCCTCTATCACAGCTATTATTGTTAACAACCGCTACACACAGTCAAGTCCCAATACTGTTTTTGTCATTTAAAAAATACTAAGTATGTAGTTGAAACTCAAAT